AATTCCTCCTCATAAGATCTTTCTAGACCCCACCCAGCACTTATGCTGAACACACCGTACGACTGTCGATTCGTGCAGAACGTAGACCCGCCAGCGCTGCTGCTGTGTATCTGCATGGGAGCCAAGCAGGCTGCAGGATGAAAGGTTTCCGATGTTTCTAAGGAACCAACGTGAAATACGCAGGGCTGATGGGCAGAAGCCGTTTTGATAGAGGGTTTTCCCATAGAACCATCTTCATCGGCACGGAGCTAACAAGGACTTATTTAACAGGCTGGGGAAATAACGTAGGTGCATCTGACACTAAAAGACATAACTCCGGTCCTCAGAGAGCTTCCTCCATAACTGAGAAGAGCAAACTTTATTTACCTTTGACCACACACTTTTAACAGCCTTTCAGGTAGATCCGAGAGGCCAATATGTGAATGAGAAGACAGGTTCCCAGACAGTGACCATTTAGGGAGGGCCCAAAAAGAGGAAGCACAGAAGAGGAACTTCGAGATCCAAAGCTGCCTTACTTCTGTGCCTCCTGTGTCTTCTGCAGACCCAAACCAGACCCTCTGACCAAAGTGTGCACAGATGGACATGAGGATATCACAGACACCTGCATCTTGCCCCAAAGAATCCAATGTAGGCAGGATGTGATGATTAGGACCAGCAAAAGAACCGTGAGGCAATATTCAATTGGCGAGTTTTCTTGACCTTGAGTTCAGTATACACCAACAAGGAGAAAGTTGCCAGAGAACTGGGATAGCCTGGGATCATGTTAATAAAGATACGCTGCTTAGAGCGGAGGAGGTGACAATCTACTGAGGCTCTGCAGGGCCAGAACACCTCCTGGTATTATACTCTGCTCTGGGAGCCCTTCCCGCCTATGCCTGTAGGAGGGACACTCACAAACAAGTATTCCTAGCACCGGAACCAGGGTGTTTTGGCATTAGGAAACCATGGAGTCAAAGGAATGGTTTCAGGAGCTGGAAATATTTAGGCTTTCGGAGACTTTCAGTACAACAGAAGGAGGAGTTTTACTAAAACCAGGGCTTCCTCAAAAGATGGCCAGTCCCCTCCCCAAGGGCCATGGAGCAGCAGCCAAATAACTGTCCACGGGGGGTGTGGGAAGGTGTCTTCTGTTGGTGTAAAAGGGATGCTGACATGGAAATATTCAGAGGCTCTCCTGACCTGCAGCAAAGTCCAGGATTCTGGACCCACAGCTTCTGTGGTCAGCCTCCCCTGACTTCTGACCCAGTGCCAGATCCTAGCCTGTGTCCCCAATGGATTTAATCCTAGATCTCAGACCCTTCCTGTACCCAAAATCTCATTTTTCCTCCTTCGTGACCCAATAGCACCTAAAGCCCAGCAGGACACCGACCTGCCACTTATTCAGTGGCAGCAATCCAATAGGACGTTCAGGAAGCTGATGGTTCAGGGAAGAGCCACACCCCCAATAAGTCAGGTTCCACCTTCTTGCTTCTCCAAAAGGACAGGGCCGGAGAAATCATGGAGATTCCCATTACACACTACAAACAGATTCCCTTTAGCGACATCCATGATCCCCCATGAGAAGCAACTCTTTTAGCCGGTTCTCCAGCTAAAATGGCTCAACTCCTGAGCTGGGTTCTCTTTGACAGCACTCAGCCAATGAACTAACTGGCCCAGCATAAAAGGTTGCCCACACTCCTGGGCAAGTTCATCTTTGCAAATGATTACTTCTTGCGGGCAAGGCCTGGTAGGCCACCCCTCCCCCACCTCTGAGTCCCCGGGCTGCGGGACTGGCTAGAAACGTGTGGGAGGCACAGAAGAAGATCTGGGGGAAAACACAATAAACAAGGTCTAGCAAACACACTGAAGCCACCTACATTTGATACTAATGATGATTATCACATGGCCTCACGGGCCAGGCACCAAGGTGGGAACTGCCTGGACTTTTCAGAGGAAAGAAAGGCCTCCATTGTTCCCCTGCTGAGGTCACAGGCTGATGGGAGCTGAGGGAAGTGGGGCTGGGGAAGGAGGGGCAGGCAGGGGAAAGGAAGCCAACCCGGGCTGTCAGAGAAACACACACCCCAGGTGTACAGAGAGGCCCCTGGCCTTCACAGACAGGACCACTGTGACAGTGTGGAAAGTGGAGGGCCTGGAAGTGATGAGGTCCAAGCCTGCCCTTCACGCAGCGCTCTGGTGGACCGTGTTCCCACACACGCAGACAGGGGCCTCAGCTTACAAGGAGGGCTCACGGCTCCACCACCAGCCCATCATTCAGACTCCTGAATGCACTGGGTACCGCTGCCAGTCCAAGTGGATGTTGCATGCTCCTGTCTGTACGCCTCCAGGACCTGGCTCTCCTGAACTCCAGCCCTCTGGCAGTCTCTCCTTCTGGCCACTGGTTCCTCCTCGGTGTGGGGGTACTCAGGGCCTTTCCAGTGCCTTCCAAATCAAGTTCCACCCCAAAGACCATCCAAGATTAAACCCTTTCCCCAAAGCTGTTGGGTGTGTGCAAATTATAACATGAAAGTTTAGCTCATTGTGGATAAAAAATGCCCCCTCCATGCTGTGCTGTTCATTTCCTCTCTGTGATCAGTCAGGAGCCTGAACCAAGGCCTGGGCCCAGGCTCTAGGACTGCCCTCCGCATCCCTGTGCTCTCTGCCTTGGTGTCCAGGCCCCACAACTTCAAAAAGCCACCAATGTCTTCATGAGCAAGTGAGGCAGGCGGGGCATCCTGGGAGATCCTGCCCCACAGCACTTTGAAGGTGAGATGTTTTGAACTTAAAGTTCTAGGAATCAGAAGAATCAAAGCACAGGGTACAGAAGGGCAAGAAGTATTGTTTTTCTTGCCTTTTATTAAAAATGGAAAAGGATGTAATGGCAGGTCAGCCAGTGATGCCGCTTTAAGCGGACTCTCTGTGGATGCAGTGTGATGGTGCAGGAGGGGCAGACTCTGCAGAGGCCGGAAACACGGCAGGGTGGAAGGCGCGCCACCTGAACCCCACTTGATGGTTCTTATGACACTGGTTTCAAACTTTCAGTTTGAGTCATGCTTTGAGCTCAGCAGCCACCCTGGTTTGGCAGATAAGTGACCACAGAGATGAAAGACCTTTGAACCATCTCTAAATAAATCCCCACAGCAATCCCCACCCCAAAACAGCAAAGCATTAGTGACATACTCTCTCAATAGATGCTCGAGCAGGCATCAGAGATAAGATGCTGGCACTGCCACCGGCTAAAACAATTCAGCATGGCCAGGAGCAAGATTAACGCAGGACTGGCCCAGAGAAATACGCACCTTCATCCCCTGGAGACCCCCAACAGGGAGGTGCTGCTGTGATTGCTGGTTTTCATATGATCAGGAAACCGTTTGGCGAGGTTCAGTGACCTACTTAGGGTTACAGGAAGCCCAGCATCCCGTGTAGGTTCTCTGCCTCCGAAGAGGGAGAGCCGGTCCTGGGCTCACGGGAGCTGAGCTCAGGTCCACCCTCAGCAGGTCTCTCTCTAACACATCCCTTACTCCTCACCGGGAATCGGAACACGCTGGGCATGAAAGACTCTCTATCAGAGCAGGACAGTTTTCCTGCTTGGTTCCTCTGCCAGACTGATCTTCAAAAGCATGGAGTTCACCCCAAATTGTTCCTTGGGGAAGTCCAAGAAGCTGACTACCAAGGGAACATCAAACGAAGAAGAAAAGAGCCAGCACATGGCTGTACACCCCCAGAGTATTCCCAACACGGGAGGACAAGAAGCATGCATGGAGGGAGGGGGACTGAACACCCTCAGAACGTCCTAATGGAAAGCAAGTTTGGTCAATCTCATGTCTGTTTAAGCTCAACACTGAAACTTCCGACCCATGATTCATGACCTTTGACGTTGGGTCAAAAAGGAAACCATCTGACGATGGAACAGTGGGTCCAAAGAGAGGTCAAACATGCTACTGAGAGCAACTGGTTTTCTTAAAGAGAAAGACTTGCCCCATGTACTTAAAGTTCCTATTTTTTAGAATAGAAATAAGGCTTCAGAGGTCAAAAGCTATTTTTGTTGTCATTCCTTTAAAAAAAAAATAGGCAGAGACTGAGACGCAGGGAAGTGAGGCATTCTTGCTGAAATGGTTACTAACAGAGACAGGGCCGGTGCCCAGGGCTCCTCTCCCCAAGCTGCGTGTTCTAATCCCCACACCTTCAGGTCAAACCTCACTTGTTGCCCTGTGGAGACAAATTCTTTGTGGAAAAAGTCATCCACCATCCTCCACCTGGCTTTAGCCATAACATCACTATAGAGAAACCTATCAGAGAGCAAAGGCTCCAGGCACTCTGAGGAATCAAAAGGAATGTGCTGCTTTAAAAACAAAAACGCAAACAAAAAACTGTAAAGAGAAAATAAAAATTAAACAAGAGGGGAAATGTGGCCTCTTGAGAAGAAACGCTGGTGGGGCCTGTCTTTCCTCGTCATGTGGAGGGTCCATGGAGGAAGAAGCTCATGCTCTCAGAGTTCAAAACACCACATGTGCACCCCCAGAAGAAGAAAGGGGGCAGCCCTCAACTAGGCAGTGCCCCGAGGGGTGACCAGAGGAGATGCAGAGCAAAATGTGGGGAGGGAAGGGCACCTGAACGACCCCGGATGGCTATAAGGAGGGTAGAGGCTCTCTGTGGGGTGCCCAGCACCACCTGCCAGAGTAAAGGAGATGATGTCAGGCAATCTGAGCTACCCTTCAACCCTGCCTGACCCCCACTCCCATGCCCCCTCACCGACCTGATATGCCAATCACAGAGGATCAAGCGAGAAAGGTACCTCTCAGCATCCTACAGGAAAGAGGGGGAACCTCCTCGCTGACATCTGCATTACCTAAGGCTCCCCTTCTAAGTTTCTCTGCCCTGCATCACTTTCCTGTTCCCCAGACCCCCAGTCCTTCCCTTTCCCCAGTTCAAAGCCTGCTGAGCATTCTCATTACTTAGAGAATTAAAGGCAAACCCATATATTTATTTGATATTCACCACTCTCAGCAACCTGATGCCAACCCAGTTTCCCATCGACTTCACCATAAAAGGCTTCTTTTCTGCCCATACTTGGTGTGTTTGACACAAAGAGGGTGCTATTTAAAGAAAGAGTAAATGCATGTATGATCCATGAGACTTCCTAAGAGAGGTTATGACAGCTCAGAACACAATACAAGCGTCTTGCCATAGACATATGATGATGGTCTAGGTGGGGGTGCTAGGAATGCAGCCCCAGCATGTTTTTGAGACCATGGTAGACGCCCGATGAATGTAAGGTAGAAGTCCTTGATGCTGAGGAAACAGGTTCTCTGATGATGCTGGGGAAGAGGGAAAATTAAGTCTAAAGAAACAAAAGGTGTTGTGTTTTGGTCAGAAGCAAGTAAATATTGATAAGTACAATAAAGGAAAAAGACTAACTCATGAGGCTTTGAAATTCCTCTCACGCATCCTAGACACTCGGAAGTAAGGACAGAATGCCAGGTTATGATCCTGCCACTCTCACTAATGTGAGAAAGTGTGGAAGAAATGCCCTCTTGCTAGGCCCTCGCCTTCCAGCTTCCCTCAGTGTGTGGTCACGTAAGGACTGGGAAGCAGTATTAGCTTAGAGTCCATGGGAACTGGCTTCAAAGGCCAACTCTGGCTGCTCCTGCTCTTTGGAAGCAACTGAGCCTCCATTTCCTCATCTGTAAGTAAATAATAGCAACTGATCCTCCATTTCCTCATCTGTAAGTAAATAATATCTGCCTGGCAGGATTGTTACATGACAAATGAAACAGGTCAGCAAATCAAACTATTGATTATGATGTGTGCTTTACAAACTGCCCATTTCCCCCCTAACCTCTCTAACTGAGTTACATTATGTGGGAATTATCATCTCTATTTTGCAGATGAGGAAAGTGGGGATTCAGCCAGGTCATACTCTAGCTTCAAAGTCACAAAGCAGTGCGGCATTGTCACACCCCATCTCCTACCCTGGGCCACTGTATGGAGCCGCCCAAGGACTCTCCTCTCCTTCTCATGCTGTTGACCCGGGATAGATGTCCCTGACTCCACTGACAGTCCTCAGGAAAGAGGAACGTGATTAAGCTCTGCCTAGTGGAGTGTCTCTAAAAAACCTGTCGCTGTTAACAACATTTTCTGTTCATGTGTTGTACCTGAACTGCTTCTAGAGACACCTTCTCATGCTCCCTGATGTTCTCGCTGAGTGAGCTAGAAGGGAACCTGAGGAAGCTTAAGTGATTACATCACTTTCCTGAGTGAGTCTAAGAGGCAACATTGCTAGTGCCGTGACAAAGAGCAGGTGCAGGTATGGAATCCAACTGCAAAGCAGGACTGGTCCAAAGGACAGTCCTGAGGCCCTGAAGCATGTTCTGAGCCTTCTTCTCATCCAATACCTCTTACCAAACACTGCTGTTCCACCTCACATAAGTCCATTCATCATAAAGCCTCTTCCAGGTAGCATCGCAGTTGCCATCCTAATTTTATGTGGAAGGCAAGTGAACATTCCCTGATTAGAAAAGTCCATGCATTGTTGAGCCAACGAGGTGGTATTTTCATGGGGCCCACCTTGCATCCTACCAGTGGCCATGTTGCCTGAACATCCATAATGCCTCTTAAATTTGCAAGATTGGTCCTAGGTTTGAAATTCGGAATAAAGCTCTTGAGGATGCCACACATGCATCTCTTCACCCCAAAGCAGTAGAGCATGTAGAAATAGAGGTAAGCTAGCAGAGATACCCTTACAGTAATATGTAAGGGATGCTATCATTATCCTCCAGAGCATCCTTTTTACAAAAACCAATGAAAAAGAAAATCAGTGGGATCTGCTAGAAGCTGTCTTAGCCTAAGGCTGTCGCACAGTGACTTGAACAAAATTAATTGGTCTGCAGAAGAGAAAAAGAAAAAGAATTAGAGGCCAAATCACTAACAACCAAACAGAATGAAAGAAAATCCTGTTACCCTGAAATTCTATGTCCTTTCCCCAAGCCAAGGGTCAGCAAACACTTTTTTTTGGTCTGGTTAGGGCCAGACAGCAAATCGCTTCCATTCTGTGGGCCACGCAGTCTCTGTCACACCCACCCAACTCTACTGTTCTGGTGCAAAAGCGATCACAGACGAAATGTAAACAAATGGATGTGGCTCTTTTCCAAAAAAAAGTTTATTTATGGACACTGAAATTTGAATTCCATAAAATGTTCACGTTGCGAAAGATTTTTCTTCTTTTGTTGATATCCCCCCCAACCATTCTTTGCTTGTGGGCTGTACACAACAGGCAGGGGGCTGGACTTGGCCCATGGACTTCAGTTGGCTGACCCGGCTCTAAGTCAGCACAGATAGTCAGGGGACTCCTGACTAGGCATCTCCACCAGCTCAAGGATCAAGTCAACAGGGCCTCCTTCCTAGCTCCCTGTGAAGGACTGAGTCTCAGGGCCACCCCATGTGTCTTTCTTCAATCAGGGGCTTGCCTCATTCAAAAGTTCCAGAAGACTGGATTTTAGAGTTAGACATTGACCTGTTGCTTAGAAAACGCCATTCTCATCCTTTTCCCTACCCTAATTTACTGATCACATACTTCCCATTCATACAAATAAGTAAATTCTGCATGTCCATGACACTGAACGTTTCTATACAAATAGTAGGCTGAGTGTGCGCCTCTCCATCTCAACCTTAGCTTCAGTTTACTCCCTGTTTGCAAAACAACAGGAACTTGAAGAGTAACCAAGTTGACATTCTAACCCAACCGAAATCAGAGAAGTTTCCGATCATCTATCAAGTGATTAAGACTCAGTACAAGTAACTTTATTCATTCATTTCTGGAAAGTAACAGCTCTCAGCATCAATAAATGCAAGAAGGATAGAGAAGTACAGCATGAAACAAGCTCCTAACAATTTAAAATTTTTGCAGATATTCCCATTAGAGCATAATGCATGGAATTCCAGCCCCTCCCCCTTCTTTCTGCCCTTTCCAATTGATGGGCTTAGAAACACTGACCTGGTGAGTTGTATATTTAAGTAAATGACTTCATTTCTCTTTCCAAGAAAGCACACAAAGAACACCCAGCTTTCTGGGTGAGAATGACCAGCCTGAGAATTTCAGATATGAGAACAGAGTTCCATTGCACATTTCAACTTTGTAATCATCCCCATGTCACAAATTCCAGAGTTTTATTCTAGGGCATTCCAATAGGCAGAAGGCTATATTTGGGGACAATCTTGTGGTTTTAGGGAAGACAATACCTGCATAAAGTATCTATTTATAGGATAGTAAATTTGAATTTGCACACCCAAAACTGCTGAAATCCTGGCCATGATGGGAATGGAGGGAAAATAAGTTACCACAGACTGCCCGCCCAAACAAAAATCCAACAACGCTCAAAGAACTGGCCATCACAATGAGCAGAGGCAAAGATACTCATGTTCAAAGCTGAAGAGACCCAACTCCAAAAATAAGCCTCACTTTCTACATGGAGCCTGGTGTAGCTGTTGTATTTGCTTGTAAGATTCCTCAGAAGTTTCCATGTGCATCTAGATAATTGTTGCTTTTATAACAGAGAAGCAGAAAGCACAGCAAAGGTGCTATGGAGAAGGGAAAGGGAGAGCACTACCTCCATGCTGTGTAAACGCAAGATAATTTAAAAGATTCCTTTGTGTTCTGAATGTTAAAGTAAGGTGATCAACTGTTCCAGCTTGCCTAGGACAGCAGGGTATTCCTGAATGCAGGATTTTCAGTTTTCAAACTATGAGAGTCTGAACCAACTGGGAGGCACTGGTCACCCTAGAAAGTCTCTTCTAGTCCAAGTCTTTAGATGTTAAATGCAATAAATCAGGCAAAACAAGTAGGTGAAGAAGGATGCAAGCCCTACACTAATCGAAGAACATGATTCCTAGTAGTTTTACTGAAAATGATGCCTCCAAAGCTAAAAAGAAACACACACCACACACACACACACACACACACACACACACACACACACACACAAATACTGGCAACAGAAACTCTACAAATTATCTATGGGCTACAAAGGAGAGAGGTTCCTTTATATGTGCCATTTTTAGCTAGTCCATCAAGGCTAGCGCTCAGATAAATGATAAGATGCAGGGAAAAGAGTTACAAAGCCTGATTAATACCTACAACCGAGAACCCCAAAACTCTGTCAGCAGGAGGACTCCTTGCCACGCTATGCACAAGTCCCAAAGACTGAATCAGAAACTTCTGGACTAGGGCAGCCTGCTGTCAGGGCTGAGTGCCACACCCCTTCCAGTGAGAGAGGTCACAGCAAACCCCTGTGATGCAAAATAATACAATGAAACCTGGACCCAGTCTTCCCCGACCAAATGACACCACCAATCACCTAGAGAGCTGCTTTCTACACCCCTGTTTGTCTTCTAGGAGGAAAATGACAACCAACCAAGTTCATTCAAGACCCAATCTTAAAAGTATATGATGTGTTGGACAAAGATTCAGGTCAGCTGGCTGCTCCTTTTCTTTCTCCAGTTCTAATGCTCAGCTCTGGCTTTGGAATAATGATCTCTCAGCCCTCTAAGAGCCTCAAGCACAAAGATGGTGCTTCCTTAGTCAGGTGGAAGGCTCGCCTATGTTAGAAAGATGCATAGCAGTGATTGAAACCAAAAGGTTATAATGGTTCTTGACTGTTCCGATTGAGCAGCATTTTTCAACATCCCCCTCTCTGACTATGAGAACAGATACAAATAGTAAAGCAAAAGAAAAACCTCAAAATGTTGTCATAGCTATGCCGGATCTGACCCAGCCAATTGGCTGCTGTGCAATAAATAGAACTGCTCCAGACTTCTAATTCTAGTAGCTATTGTTTTTCAGGTGGGTAGGAGATATAATAATAAATAATAGTAATTGGACACTACACCCAGGTGTCAGGGGCATTTCTTCCAGAGGCCCTAAATATTCCATCGAGGAAACTGGTAATTCAGAAACCTAGCAGGTCCTGGAGTGGAGACATTTAGTTCAACACTGTTGCATTATAACGTGGATGAGATGCCATAGGAACCTAACTCTTCCATATATCAATTAGTCTATAGTAACATTGGTTTTATCATATCACGTAGTTTCACTTAAAGTTGCAGAACCTATTGATGACGTTAAATAAGGACTTCATGCAAATTAGTAATAAGCAAACAGACTCTAAAAGTTGAGGATAAAATGGCAAAAATGGAAATCCTACAAAACAGGGCTCCCTACCTTCTTCTTGGAGTGGCTTCTGTCCTCCTCTTTCGTGGCTTTGCTGTTTTTCCCCGCACGAGACACCTTCTGGTCCCCAGACTGCTTGATGGTGATCTTGATCTCAGGGGGGCATATGTAGTTCTCCAGATTCTTTGGGGGTTTCTTCGCCCGCTTTGTGGTCTGAATCTTCAGCTTCAGACTCCCCTCCGTGAAGTTCGCCTCCTTGATGGAGAACTCCTGTTCTTCCAGGCCATCTCCTGCCACCCACTTCTCGCTGTCCGCATTGGAGTTGGAATCCACGTCCCGCCCTGAGCCCAGTTCATCCTCCTCTTCCGGCTCCATGCGCTCTCCGGCCCCTGGGATGCCCTTCCCAGTCCCTGGCGCAGACAGCAGAGGTTCTGCACAGCCTGGCGCAGTTGGAGGCTTGGCCGAAGGGACTGGCAGGAAATCCGACTCGCCCCCCCTTTGCCGGGAGCTGCTCAAAATTTCCCTGGACTCCATGACAATCCTACAGTCTTCAGGAGTTCTCAGCAGGGGAAAGGGAGAAGGGGAAAGGGAAGGTGAACAGAGAGGACACCCAAAATTCCAAGGACAAAGTGGTCCAGCTGCTGGGCTCAGAGCCCCAAGGATGGAGACAAGATGAAGTGCTCAGGAGATCAGATCTGCAACTGAGAAGAAGCAGAGAGATAATTAGCCATGGCAGGAAGAAAATGACCTAAACAGTAACTTAATCTACGTCCCCAAAGCCCCTTCCCACTTATCATCAGCATCAGAAAAAAATTATGGACAGAAATCAAATCAGAGTGTGCATGCCCGCAATGGACTAAATTGGAGCAAAGGGACAGACACACTCACACACATCCCTTCATTGAATTGTTATGAATTTTTATGGCTGTGGACCCAACAGAGACAAAAGAGGTGAGTCCTCTAGTCCCGTAACCAGCTAGAAGTTTCTGAAACTGAAACCACAGCTGGCTGAGTCACCATCAGAATGGGCCATGACGAAAGGGAAGTCTGAAGTGCTGATGCTCAGGTCTGTGGGAACTGCGTCTGGTCGGCTTCTAGTACCACTTCCCTCACATACAGTTTGCAAAGCTGATCGCAACCCCTGAGGCGCCTGGGCAAAGCTCTCCACCCCCTTAGAGGAAGGACAGTTAGCCAAGGTCTTGACCATTCTTTCCTTATCACTGTTCATTATGAATTATTTCAATTATGCAAGTCTTTTCTATTTCTTTTACTTTTTTTAATATATATTTTTTATTGATTTCAGAGAGGAAGGGAGAGGGAAGGAGATAGAAACATCAATGATGAGAGAGAATCATTGATTGGCTGTCTACTGGGGATCAGGCCTGCAACCCGGGCATGTACCCTGACGGGGAATCAAACAGTGACCTCCTAGTTCATAGGTTGATGCTCAACCACTGAGCCACACCGGCCAGGCAAGTGTTTTCTATTTCTTAAAGCAAATGTAAAGCTTAGGCACAGGCTTGAAAACAAAAAAAGAAAAACCAACCCTAAAAAACGTTTCCATTGATACAAAAGACACATCATCATAAAGTATTTAGATAAAAATAACCATTAGGGACAGTTTTAAGTCCCTTTCTGGTCCTTAGATAAAGTGGCATTATGTCTACATGACAACAACAACAAAGGGAGAGAGGGGAGCATTTCACAGGCCTTTGGAAGTGTCAGGAACCACTCCCCTTGCACCCCTGAGACCTTGGATCTGCCTTTCTCACAAGGAAAAGAGAAAAATCAGTCAGGCTTTCTCCAGATCATAGAAGGATCAGCTAAACTACCTTTCAATCTTATTCACCCCGTGTTCCATTATTCCCAGTTTCATACTCATTATTTTCAAAGCCACAAAGATGTCCAAATGCTCATCCTCAAGAGAAAACCCAGAACCCTGGGGCTGCACCAAACTTCAAGACATCATCTCCTTGCACCCTGAGCTATAGGCAAGGTCACCCGAGCTTACTTAAATGGCTGAATACTCTCTAAGCTCCCAGCAGAAGACGTCACACCTTCGGTTTCTACCACTGAGCCCACCAATTTAAGGAATTAGTCAGCAATGTGCCCACCATAAAATCCCAATAAAGTCTGCAAACACACACTCAGAGCAGCCCAGAACCAGAACCTGACGACGGGGCTGTATGTTCTCCCTGTGGAGTCAGTGCATTTCCAGCTGCTGCCCTGGGAGGAAGACAGCCAGTGCTCCAACAGGGACCTGTTCCCCGGAGATGCCCAGGAACACATTCAGCTCCTGGGAGCTGCTCAGCCTGCAGGAAGACGCATGTACACCTGCTTCCACTTTGGGGAAAGCCCAATGAACAAAGCATTTCTGGAAGAGAAGAAGCTGCCTGGTGGGAACATGAACATCTTTGCTGAAGCTGTCAATCACACACTGAACAGCCACCCATGTCCCATGCTACAAAAGGGACAAAGTCCCCACTTAGGAGCAAGGAGAAGGCAGTCAGACAATATGACATTTAATGGTTTGGGGTTTTTTTACTTGTAAGATTCTTTGTCTCATCTAGATGGACCTGCCTACCTGCCCAAAACCTTACATAATTTTTTTTTAAATCATACTGAAGTCAACCTTCATTGAGGCCCCTCTTCCTAGTGTCAGGTACCACACTAGCTGATGGAGACATCAAGATGCCCCAGAACAAGCATGTCAAACTCAAAGGCTAACACGGGCCAAATAAACGAGGCATGCGGCCCGCGGGCCACAAGTTTGATATACTTGCCCTAGAACACATGTCCCAGAAGGTCTTTCTCAACTTGTATCGAAGGTGACACAAATTGCTAGCCATGTTTGCTTATGACTGTAGTCCTTCAGTGGTTTACTCTCTCTGGCAAGAACCTGCAATGTTACATTTTAATTCCCTGGTACCTACCTATGAAGCTACCCTTGGGTAAGGGCCAAAGGTGAGGCATATTCCTCATAAGATGTTCTTACCCTAAACCTATTTGGACCTGTGAACCACAGATAGGACAATGTATATTGCAGGTTCCGTGATGAGAGAAAAGAAGGTGGAATCTAAACTTTAGAGCAGTGGTTCTCAACCTTCCTAATGCCGCGACCCTTTAATACAGTTCCTCATGTTGTGGTGACCCCCAATTTCATTGTTACAAATTGAACATAAAGCATAGTGATTAATAACAAAAACAATATGTAATTATATATGTGTTTTCCGATGGTCTTAGGCGACCCCTGTGAAAGGGTCATTCGACCCCCAAAGGGGTCGCGACCCACAGGTTGAGAACCGCTGCTTTAGAGGAATGATTAGATATATAAAGTGGAATAAAGCATCTTCCATTAAAAATGACTCAGTTTTGCCCTAACTGGTTTGGCTCCGTGGATAGAGCATTGGCCTGCGGACTCAAGGGTCCCGGGTTCGATTTCGGTCAAGGGCATGTACCTTGGTTGTGGGCACATCCCCAGTAGGGAAAGTGCAGGAGGCAGCTGATCGATGCTTCTCTCTCATCGATGTTTCTAACTCTCTATCCCTCTCCCTTCCTCTCTGTAAAAAATCAATGAAATATATATTTTTTTAAATATGACTCAGTTTAGAGTTTCTTATATTTAATGGTATAAATACTTAACTACTTGATATAGAAGACAAAGTTCCGAAAGTTAAAACTCAAGTAGTAAGAGAGACACAAAAAGGGAAAACTCAACAATTTTTTTTTCAGTTCTCCACAGTAAAGATTCTAAGACACAATTAACACATTAAACGCCCAGCCTGTTTTGTCTGCCGGATGGAAAGTATAGTGTCTGTCAGTCACCAGTGACTTACTGGGCGCTTAACGTGTTAAAATACAATCTCTTTCCTCAAAGAAGTTATACTCTAAAGAGTTGCTTGAAAATAAAACAACAGATTGATATATGCCCTATAATAAAGGATAGAAACAAAGGGAAGAGAAAGTGGTTTCCACCTGAGCAAGGTGTAGACAGATAGAATGGAAAGTACCCCAGAGGGCTTCAAGGAGAGCTTAGGATATGGCTTTGACCTTGAGGGGCTTCAATAGTAGAGTGGGAAGAAGGAAGACATGGCAGAAAGAAGGAAGAGCACGAGTGAGGCGAGGCCTGGGGCAGAAGCATGCAAGGTTCGAGAGAGAGAAAGGTGAGGTTTGGCTGACAGGTGTGGTACAAAATGGGGGCTGGAGATAAAAGGTTACAGCCAGATCCTAGGTATCCTTGAATGCCACACTAATTAGATGGATTTTATCTACAGGTAATGGGGGAAGCCATTTAAGGGATGACAATGGGGAAGGGATGCTATTAAGGCTATGCTTCAAGAAGATAATTCTGACATGTGATGTGAGGGATGAATTAACAGAACCTGGTATTAGATGGAGGGGGACCATAAGGAGGGTTGGCTGGAATTCCACTCTTATTGTGTGAGGACTTGAACCAGAGCAGTGTGAGTATGCCAGAAAAATACTAGAGATGAACCAGCAATTCCGTCTCAAATAATCCCAATCTTCAGGAACACATCAATTCCAGACTTTTCATACTGGGTTCACCTTAAGAATGTAATCTTAGGGGTTCGTTGGCCACCAACTTGCATTCCCTATTCAAGTCACACCAGTCTTCACAGTAGCATTGTACACACAGAATTATTTCTGCCTTGGCATTTTTTATAGAATCTTTCTTTATATCCCTTTCCATCAATCCGTGCAATGCCTCTCATACAACTAGTACTCTCCAAATGTCTGCTGCATGGAGGAATGACTGAACAGATGAACAAACACATCCCAGTCCTTCCCATATTCTGAGGTCATGCCCAAGTCTTCACTTCCTCATGACCGTATTTTGTAAGCTCTGGACCACAGCATTCACTCCCTGGCCTGACTTAGTGTGCACCCAGCTGCATAGCTGGCCACTAAACACTAGTCTTGCCTTGCCTTCTCATTGTTTTGAGTACACAAATCTTATTTCCCTCCCTGGACTGCATTTCATTGCAGGCTGAGACGGACCCAGTGCAGGACCGGGCACTTGGAGGACTTCAAGAAGTTCTTTCTGAATGAAAATGAATCAGCCCCGTGACAGTCCTTCAAAGTCCTGTGGTTCAAACTACTCTAACGGCAGCTCCACCCACCCAGGCGGCCCCTGCAACATTCACTATCTATGCCGAGGATTATAATCCAGTCCCTCATGTCCACACGCACCCCTCACCTTGGGAAAATAAAAAGAAGCTTTCAAAAGCAAAGGGCAGAGAAACCTAACCTGTCTGTTTACTTCACCAGCACACAAAGCTGTCGTTCTCCTTTTGCCTTTTCCCAGCACGTACCTGCCACCCCAAAGTCACAGTTGGATTTGTTGGTGAGTCTGGGAGACAACTGCGCGTGGTCTTGGGTGCGCCCCTGCCAAGGTGGTGTGTGCACAGGCGCTCAATGACTCACACTCACGGGAAGGGGAAGCTGCAGCAAGGTGAAAACGTTTTGCCTTGTCACATTCCAGCAGTCAGCAACTCCTCCAGAGGGGGCGGGTGCACAATGGACACTCTGTACTTGGCTCAGGCCTCCAGTCCTACCCAAGTTAACCCTACCATGGCTGCCTGCAGGACTTGGCGTGGCAGGGCACAGAACAATGAAATTGCTTAGGAAATAACTGCCCAGGAGGTCCCAGGGGAACAGAGGGGCTAGAAGGAGAA